GTGGCTCATTTGTATAAAGCAGAGTTGTTCCCTTCGTCGTGCCAGGATCCGCTAATCACATATCAGATCCGCCCGACTATAATACATTGTGCCATACCTGTACCCATACTCTTCGACCTGTGACACTGGGCTGGCTCATTTGTATAAAGCAGAGCTGTTCCCTTCGTCGTGCGGACCGCCTCCGTGGTCTAGCGGTAGAGCGTCCGCCCGGAGATCAGAAGGTCCGGGGTTCGATCCCCGGCCGCGTCATACCAAAAGACGTTAAAAGATGGTACTTGTTGTTACCCTGCCTGGCGCTCGGCATCAAGGGGCTAAAACAAGGACTGGTCGGCTCGGAGTCAGTATACTGTGTCTGAGTGGGGTATCCATGTTAAACTGCGGCATGGTATCTCAGTGAGCTAGCACTATAAATCGGCATCAGTCCGGACTAGTACAAGCAGCCACACAAACACACACACGTACGTGCACGTCGCTATATAAGTGCAATAATCTTGGACGCGACGTTAAACCCAATTTCACCTCACCTCACCTCACCTCACCTCACCTTACCTCACCCTTCGTCGTGCCCGGATCCGCTGATGACATTCCAGATCCGCCCGACTATAGTACATTGTGCCATACCTGTACCCATACTCTTTAACCTGTGACACTGGGCTTTCCTCTCTTGTTAAGCTTACCCACCGTGACACGGCTTCTCGGTCTAGTTGATAGAACGTCTGCTCGGAGAGCGGGAGGTCTGTGGTTCTATCGCCGGCCGCGCCATTCGAAAATACGTTACCGGTTGTCATTAAGGGAATGAAACAAGGAATGGTCGGCTCAGAGTCGGTGCATGAGAGGGGTATTCATCTTAAACTGCTGCATGGTATTTCAGAGGAGAAACACTATGACATCGGTCCCAGACTAGCACAAGCAGACACACACACTCACGCGCACGCACGTCGCTATGTAAGTGTAATAATCTTGAACGCGAAGTTAGACCCCGTTTTATCGCCACCGCCACACATAATGGTTATGTCTACTCTCGTCAGATAACATCTGATCTGTGTTAGAAAAGGGATAGTTCCGGGGTACTGTCGTAGAATTAAGTGTTATTGAAAAACGAATGGGAACATGTGCCGCGATTTGATTGTTGAAACACACAGGATGCCAAGCCCTAACATGAATACTAGGGCGTATGGATACTTTTCAATATCATTTATTGTTCTCAATCACAAAATGAAAAAAAACCCATCGCATTCGGCATGACGACAGTCTACCGTATACTTTCTGCATACACGTTATCTTTATTTTTATCAGTACGACTTCGCATTAGATTTCTCTGTATACAGAAGAATAGGATCCAGTAGTGCTGATGTCATACACTCCGAAATGAAGACATATCTGTCAACACGGAAAGGTTCTGAAAGCTTTTTGAATTTACAAAACAAACTGCCTTGCAAAAGAAAGTATACACCCATATTTGACGATGGCTAAAATGTTTTCCCAATAACGTTTGAATAAAATTTGTAATGCTTTGGACAAATCCAATTTTCAAACGTATAGCATGACTTTCTTTTGCCCCGGAGCTTATATATAAACAATATGCACGCGTTGTCTCACGATTACAGCCGGACCATGCCCTCTCATGTTTACTGGCGAAGGTTTGGGGGGATCCAGGCTACATGTAGTTACAGGCCGCTGTGAAATAGCTGCAATATAGCTTACTGCGGCATAACACATCATGCACTCACCCACATAAGAGGTAAAGCAGATTTGGTTTATAACAAACTTTTTCATAATGACCTATTACTTATACCATATACAGTAAACTACGGTTATAACGAACTCAAAGGGACCACTAATTTTAGTTCGTTATTACCGTAGTTCGTTATAAGTACATATACAGCATGATTACTGCAAGTAGTCGGGACCAAAATGTAAGTTCGTTATATCCGTCAGTTCGTTATAAGCGTGTTCGTTATAACCGTAGTTTACTGTATAGAATTAACGGGTGACTCTGCCTGAAAGGACTCATTGTAACATGCACTGTCTGTCTTAACCGAAATAGCTGTGACCTTTCTACAAACCAAATTCATTTCCTATGAATCAAAGAAATATGAAAACAAGCAATGCTCGGTATGTCTGTCCAGCCATTAATACAGCACTGAGAATAGACATATTATAACATACGTTTGTCACACTATATTACCTAGTGGGATCCCATGCGCGATATCGCTGATGTGATGATTTATGTCGTCTCATTATGCTGATGTCAAATTCCATCATTAAATCCACTGTGACTTCTCCGAGGAAGAGGTACAAGTCTGGCAGGCAAACAAGGAACCGGTATCGTTTAACCTGCGCCCAATGTCCGCCGGTTTTCTTACCTGGAGATCGGCGACTAAGTGATGCCCACACAATGATTGGCATATGCCACTTTCCCTATGCCATTCATGTCAGCTGGGAATGTGAGCGGCGGTATGGGGGTCACACGAACTTGTCAACAGACATTCCTTTGCACGTCACGGAAAAGCCTATCTACATATTTTAGCAATAGTCTTGGCATTAATCAGTCATCTTGTACTTTAGAAGTCGATTAAGGTGAATTATTTCTTGTCACTTACAGATGAACTTATGTACATTACCTTACGAATTACTCAACATATAGTTAGGTAAATGGGAAGACGATTGTGTGAGCCGTATTTTTTAACGGAATTTTGATTGTGAAGATGACTCACCTGAACTCAACTGCGCCATTTACAAATTTCATCGCTAATGAAGATGTCACGAAAATACCTCTTGTATAAAACCGTGAAGCCGGATCCCGATAGTCCGGACACTCGCTATTCCGGACATGTACAGTAAGGACAGAGAGGAAATTGATTAAACCGGACGATTTAAATTGGGATGTGGAGTGAAATGGGGTTAAACGTCAGGTCCAAGATTATTGCACTTATATAGCGGCGTGCGTGCGTGCATGCCTGCGTGCGTGTACTAGTCCGGACTCATCCCAGGTAATGCCGAGCGTCAGGCAGATTTTGACGCAGCCGGGGATCTCAACCACAGTCCTTCCTACCTCCGGACACACGCTTTATCCATCACGGAGACGGTCGATTTCAATTGAACGGTAATGTCCAGATTAACCAGGTTCATGAATGTAGCCGTAACCGAGTCCAAACATATTGACCGATTTCCACGCTGTAGACAGTTTAGGTGTTGCCAGTGTGTTTATTAGACTATATAATAAACAAACTGGTGCATAGGTAATCAGCTGTCAGAATTACAATACCGGTGTGAGATAGGCAAGCGAACCCTCCGATGACACCGAGAGCCGTATAACATGATCAGTTTGACACCTTTGTCTGGACAAATGTCATGTTCGGAGCTCATGTCGAAGGCGGGAAGTTGAGCGTGGAGTGACACTCAGGTGTGACAGGCGCCCAAATCACACGTAATGTGTCATCTCTGCAACATTTTGCGTGTTTCGTAACAGAAAAATAGAATTACGTTTTACAAATTTTGTACAGGGATATACTTCTTGTATTTTGTGATCTTTATGTTTCAATATATCTCACCCTGGATGAGATCTTTATCGCAGGATGTAAATCAGTGCTCTCACGGTTTCTTCTCAGAGTGGTCGGGAGTTTAGATTTTAGCATTCATATAATTCTCTGAAAAGAAATAGCTGCTACTTCCATGTATAAAGTGGGCGTCAGTTGAGCGTATAATTATATTGTAAAATAAATTCGAGTTTTGGGTGCAATTAAGTTTTTTCTTTCAAGACGAAAAGGGCTATTTTGCCCTGATCCTAGGATGCTTGACAACGCCCCGATGGAAGAGATAGCGTGACGCCACGCCCTTATGGTAGAGAAGCTTGAGACGACGCTTTAATACAACGACCTGATGGTAGGAAAAGATTAACACGACGTTCTGGTGACAGTGAGAGCTTAACACTAGGTTCTGATGGTAGGGGCAGCTTGACACGACGGTCTGATGGTCGGAATAGCTTAACACGACGTTCTAGTGGTAGGAATAGATCAACACGACGTTCTGGTGACAGTGAGAGCTTTACACTAGTTTCTGATGGTAGGGACAGCTTAACACTAGGTTCTGATGGTAGGGACAGCTTAACACTAGGTTCTGATGGTAGGGACAGCTTAACACTAGGTTCTGGTGACAGTGAGAGCTTCACACTAGGTTCTGATGGTAGGGACAGCTTAACACTAGGTTCTGATGGTAGGGACAGCTTAACACTAGGTTCTGATGGTAGGGGCAGCTTAACACTAGGTTCTGATGGTAGGGACAGGTTAACACTAGGATCTGGTGACAGTGAGAGCTTCACACTAGGTTCTGATGGTAGGGACAGCTAAACACTAGGTTCTGATGGTAGGGACAGCTTAACACTAGGTTCTGATGGTAGGGACAGCTTCACACTAGGTTCTGGTGACAGTGAGAGCTTCACACTAGGTTCTGATGGTAGGGACAGCTTAACACTAGGTTCTGATGGTAGGGAGAGCTTAACACTAGGTTCTGATGGTAGGGGCAGCTTAACACTAGGTTCTGATGGTAGTGACAGCTTAACACTAGGTTCTGGTGACAGTGAGAGCTTCACACTAGGTTCTGATGGTAGGGACAGCTTAACACTAGGTTCTGATGGTAGGGACAGCTTAACACTAGTTTCTGATGGTAGGGACAGCTTAACACTAGGTTCTGATGGTAGGGACAGCTTAACACTAGGTTCTGGTGACAGTGAGAGCTTAACACTAGGTTCTGATGGTAGGGACAGCTTAACACTAGGTTCTGATGGTAGGGACAGCTTAACACGACGGCCTGATGGTAGGGGCAGCTTAATACGACGTTCTAGTGGCAGTGAGAAGATGCCCAGATAATAAGGAGAGCTTGACACGATGCCCTTATAGTAGAGAAGTTTTACACGACGTTCTTACGGTAGGGAGAGCATAAAACGACGCTTCGATGATAGGGAGAGAATAAAACGACGCTCCGATGGTAGGTAGAACTTGTCACCACGTTGTGATAAGGAGAGCATAACACGACGCTCTGGTGGTAGGGGGAGCATAAAACGACGTTCCGATGGTAGGGAGAGCTTGATACGACGCCCTGATGGTAGGGAGAGTTTGATACGACGCCCGGTTGGTAGGGAGAGCTTGATACGACGCTATGATGGCAGGGAGAGCTTGATACGACGCTATGATGGCAGGGAGAGCTTGATACGACACTATGGTGACAGGGAGAGCTTGATACGACGCTATGATGACAGGGAGAGCTTGATACGACGCTATGATGACAGGGAGAGCTTGATACGACGCTATGATGACAGGGAGAGCTTGATACGACGCTATGATGACAGGGAGAGCTTGATACGACGCTATGATGGCAGGGGGAGCTTGATACGACGCTATGATGGCAGGGAGAGCTTGATACGACGCTATGATGACAGGGGGAGCTTGATACGACGCTATGATGACAGGGGGAGCTTGATACGACGCTATGATGACAGCGAGAGCTTGACACAATTCTCTGAGTGTGAGTCAACCTACCTCGGTGTTTTGATACCTCCAAGTATAAAGACATCTAACATCTAAATATAACCACCTACCTCTCTCCACTGATATCCTCACAGCACAGATACCCATAAGTTCCAAATATAACCACCTTCCTCTCTCCATTGATACCCTCACTGTACAGATACCTATTACTTCCAAATATAACCACCTACCTCTCTCTCCATTGATACCCTCACAGCACAGATACTCGTTACTTCCAAATATATCAACCTACCTCTCTCCACCGATACCCTCACAGCACAGATACCCATTACTTCCAAATATAACCACCTACCTCTCTCCACTGATACCCTCACAGTACAGATACCCATTACTTCCAAATATAACCACCTACCTCTTACCACTGATACCCTCACAGTACAGATACCCATTACTTCCAAATATAACCACCTACCTCTCTCCACTGATACCCTCACAGTACAGATATCTTTTATTTCCAAATATAACCACCTACCTCTCTCCATTGATACCCTCACAGCACAGATACCCATTACTTCCAAATATAACCACCTACCTCTCTCCATTGATACCCTCACAGTACAGATACCCGTTACTTCCAAATATAACCACCTACCTCTCTCCATTGATACCCTCACAGTACAGATACCTGTAACTTCCAAATATAACCACCTACCTCTTACCATTGATATCCTCACAGGACAGATACCCATTACTTCCAAATATAACCACCTACCTCTCTCCACTGATACCCTCACAGTACAGATACCCATTACTTCCAAATATAACCACCTACCTCTCTCCATTGATACCCTCACAGTACAGATACCCATTACTTCCAAATATAACCACCTACCTCTTACCATTGATACCCTCACAGTACAGATACCCATTACTTCCAAATATAACCACCTACCTCTCTCCCTTGATACCCTCACAGGACAGATACCCATTACTTCCAAATATAACCACCTACCTCTTACCATTGATACCTTCACAGTACAGATACCCGTTACTTCCAAATATAACCACCTACCTCTCTCCATTGATACCCTCACAGTACAGATACCTGTAACTTCCAAATATAACCACCTACCTCTTACCATTGATACCCTCACAGGACAGATACCCATTAATTCCAAATATATCCACCTACCTCTTACCATTGATACCTTCACAGTACAGATACCCGTTACTTCCAAATATAACCACCTACCTCTCTCCATTGATACCCTCACAGTACAGATACCTGTAACTTCCAAATATAACCACCTACCTCTTACCATTGATACCCTCACAGGACAGATACCCATTAATTCCAAATATATCCACCTACCTCTTACCATTGATACCCTCACAGTACAGATACCCATTACTTCCAAATATTACCGCCTACCTCTCTCCATTGATACCCTCACAGTACAGATACCCATTACTTCCAAATATAACCACCTACCTCTTACCATTGATACCCTCACAGCACAGATACCCATAAGTTCCAAATATAACCACCTTCCTCTCTCCATTGATACCCTCACTGTACAGATACCTATTACTTCCAAATATAACCACCTACCTCTCTCTCCATTGATACCCTCACAGCACAGATACTCGTTACTTCCAAATATATCAACCTACCTCTCTCCACCGATACCCTCACAGCACAGATACCCATTACTTCCAAATATAACCACCTACCTCTCTCCACTGATACCCTCACAGTACAGATACCCATTACTTCCAAATATAACCACCTACCTCTTACCACTGATACCCTCACAGTACAGATACCCATTACTTCCAAATATAACCACCTACCTCTCTCCACTGATACCCTCACAGTACAGATATCTTTTATTTCCAAATATAACCACCTACCTCTCTCCATTGATACCCTCACAGCACAGATACCCATTACTTCCAAATATAACCACCTACCTCTCTCCATTGATACCCTCACAGTACAGATACCCGTTACTTCCAAATATAACCACCTACCTCTCTCCATTGATACCCTCACAGTACAGATACCTGTAACTTCCAAATATAACCACCTACCTCTTACCATTGATATCCTCACAGGACAGATACCCATTACTTCCAAATATAACCACCTACCTCTCTCCACTGATACCCTCACAGTACAGATACCCATTACTTCCAAATATAACCACCTACCTCTCTCCATTGATACCCTCACAGTACAGATACCCATTACTTCCAAATATAACCACCTACCTCTTACCATTGATACCCTCACAGTACAGATACCCATTACTTCCAAATATAACCACCTACCTCTCTCCCTTGATACCCTCACAGGACAGATACCCATTACTTCCAAATATAACCACCTACCTCTTACCATTGATACCTTCACAGTACAGATACCCGTTACTTCCAAATATAACCACCTACCTCTCTCCATTGATACCCTCACAGTACAGATACCTGTAACTTCCAAATATAACCACCTACCTCTTACCATTGATACCCTCACAGGACAGATACCCATTAATTCCAAATATATCCACCTACCTCTTACCATTGATACCCTCACAGTACAGATACCCATTACTTCCAAATATTACCGCCTACCTCTCTCCATTGATACCCTCACAGTACAGATACCCATTACTTCCAAATATAACCACCTACCTCTTACCATTGATACCCTCACAGTACAGATACCCGTTACTTCCAAATATAACCACCTACATCTCTCCATTGATACCCTCACAGCACAGATACCCATTACTTCCAAATATAACCACCTACATCTCTCCACTGATACCCTCACAGGACAGATACCCATTACTTCCAAATATAACCACCTACCTCTGTCCGTTGATACCCTCACAGTACAGATACCTGTTACGTCCAAATATAACCACCTACCTCTCTCCACTGATACCCTCACAGTACAGATACCCATTACTTCCTAATATAACCACCTACCTCTTACCACTGATACCCTCACAGTACAGATACTCGTTACTTCGAAATATAACCACCTACCTCTCTCCCTTGATACCCTCACAGTACAGATACTCGTTACTTCCAAATATAACCATCTACCTCCGACCATTGATACCTGACAGTATAGATACACATAACTTCAAGTGTAACCACCTACCACTTATTCGTGGCCCGTCTCCAAGCGCTTGCACCTCCCTCTCGGTCACTGATGTCCCCATCCTCCTTGCGCCTCCCCGTGTCGCCTCCCCACCCTGAGGTCACCGACGCCCCGCCCATCCTCGCCCGACTGTTCACGGGGTGGTTCTGAAGCTGTCCTGGTCTCATGAGTGACGTTCTCGCTAAGTCCCCTCTCCAGGACAAAGTAAGCCATCCGCTCAGTGTTAAATAGGCATCCATTTACCAGCGGCCGGGAGGGCGGTTCACACCACTGTGCGAGATTCCACGGAACTGCGATATTTGAAGCATGGTCGCTCATCGTTTGATCCCGATGGTTAAAAAACGCCGGTATTATTTGTGCAAATTCGTTCTGAATGAATATTATGGTTAACAAAGCCATGCTAGAGTACACTTGGCGACACAAGCAGAGCTGGTCACTGTTAACGGGCGGCTCGCGGTTTTGAAACTACCATGCGTTCACTACAAGGGAGATCACTGACTCTGACGCCAGACTTGTTGTTTAACATGTCATTTTATGATTTCCACATTATAGTAGTTGAGTTAAAGTTTCCAAAAGACATTTGCCCTGGGCGATGGTTTTGTCAGATGGTCATTTTTAAGCCCAAATGTTCATAGGCCTCAGCAAAGTTCTGTTAGTTTCTTTCTTGAAACTAACTTATGTACACCTGTTAAGCAGCTCATGTTTCTCGTAAGAGGCGACTAAAGGGATCGGGATGACAGACTCGCTGACTTGGTTGATGCATGACGTAGTATACTAATTGCATAGATCGATACTCATGATGTCAGTCACTGGATTGTCTGGTCAATGCTTGCGATGCGACCCGTGAAGATCCGGGGTAGAAGAGGTCTTCAGCAAGTCATGCTTGCCGAAACATGTGACTATGCTTGTCGTAAGAGGCGACTAACGGGATTGGGTGGTCAGGCTCGCTTGACTTGATTGATGCATGTCATCGTATCCCAATTGCGTGGATCGATGCTCATGATGTCAATCACTGGATTGTCTGGTCCAGACTCGATCATTTACAGACCACCGTCATAAAGCTGGAATACTTCTGAGTGCGGCGTTAAACAACAAACAAACAAACGTTCAGTCCGTGCAATACGAAAAGCGTATATTGGTATATACTAGTACATCAATGTGTTATATTTTACCTGTCTGAGAAATAACTCTCACGTACTTGTACCTGACTCGATTATTTACAGACCACCGTCATTTAGCTGGAATATTGCTGAGTGCGGCGTTAAACAACAAACAAACAAACTTTCAGTCCGTGCAATACGAAAAGCGTATATTGGTATATACTAGAACATCAATGTGTTATATTTTACCTGTCTGGGAAATAACTCTCACGTACTTGTACCTGAATCCCGTCGCCATAAAATTGACGTTTCGAATGAACTGTAGGAATATCGTGGTTCTTCGCGCAATACACAAGCGCCCCCAAATTGAGCTGTATCCCCCGTGGTACCCCATCGGCCTAGTTTGAATTGATGTAAGGTCTTTGGGAAGGAGACAAAGTATTGTTTAGCGCACATGTTAAACGTACCATATTACACAGCTAACTGTGATTCATTTTCGGCTAAACTAAATTTATATGATGAATATATCTACGACTCATGTACCTACCGGTTAATAAATACATCGCACCTTCATTAATACGCACAGCTTGAAAGAACAAAATTTAAAAAAAGTATCAAACAACAATTGTTTCGGTATGAATGTTTCCGAAGAAACTACAGTTATATTGTTAGTCTGAATTGAATAATAACAACGATTATGATAATAACACTGTTAGTCCCAGTGGAATCCAGATTGGAAAAAGTAATGTCCGGATTGCAGAGATTCCGGATTAAGGGGGTCCGTATCAACGAATAAATATCTGGATCACCAAAACATTTTACTGGTAGTATTCCTTTAATTATATATAGACGCTCGAATTAGACTGCCGGGCTAAGGAAGTATACACTAAAAAATTGATTTGATGAAAGAAATTACAAACGTTATTAACACGTTAGAAAGCTGATGTCCTCTGTATCCCCAGAGCCAGTGAGATACTCATTGATACGATGCATGTAATATCGAATAAGATACCCGTATAAAATATATCGCCATTGAATAACCAAATCTTGTTTGTTTCATTTTTAGCCACCATCAAACAGGGTTGTATACTTTGTTTTGTCCGGCAGTTTAGTAACGTCCGAATGTCGGGGAATCTGGATTAACAGGGTCCGTCCTAACGGGTTTTCAATGTATACTGAATGTAACACATTGTCATGCAATCTTCACATTCGGATCCGTCACGTTTTGTGTAATACTGCATGGTTGGCTTGCGAGACTTGGCTGTAACAGACTCTATGAACTTGAGTGTGTCCTGGATCTACACGCCTTGGCGTGAGGGGCTTAATGCCACGATGTTTATGGCATTTGAGTCTACTTTCATTCCACAAAGGGTGTTTTGAAGAAATGTTTTTATATGGCATATTTAACCCCGATGTGAAATTATACCCTACAGTTATTTAAATTTCATCAAACCCCAGACTAATAAATTTTACCACGGAGTGCGATTTGCTTAAACTGAATATACGCGTATATGCTTCGATTTGAACTTCTGATGGCAAAGTAACACGGAGTTATTATATCTGTCGAGTCAGGTATGATATATTGAAGAAGGGGAGGTAGAAGAAATGTATTCATGAATAAAGGCCATATGACCCAGAGTTCGTTTACATACATATACACGTAGTGTGCACATGCACTAAAGAATAATAAAGTCATATCTTTACATTCATAATTTCATGGGTAGATTTCTTTTCAAATAGATGGACATATTTTTGATAATAGATTCTTTAGAGTTAGATATAACATTGATATATTAATAAAAGGATTGATCTACATGATAATGTTTGGGATCAATTTTTCATTGCTATTTTTTGTGTAAAATTGCCAAATTAACATTTTAATTTCTGAAAAGGTTAAATTTTGTACGTTATAAGTGATGGACCTATAGTTGTATTAACCGTTTGTTTTAAAAAAAAATCAGTTGATGAGGTAGGCAGCGAAATTTACATAAAGTTGAAAGATGTTCGGAGCTTCTCAACATAAAACGTCAACACCAGAGAAGAGTCAGTTTAGATCATCTGCCAAGACAGTTTCCATTGGGCTTAAAAGGGGATATAGAGATGAAAAGTATGGGAATGGATCACTAAACATCTGTCATGACATCAGGATGTTTGCGGAAGCAAACATGCGCATGCGCTGCTCTACCGGAAGCACCCGTCATTCACACAATTTGTATATAAACTATATTTTACTGTATGCATTAGTTATAAGTAAATACGGGGCGGTCGGGTAGCCTAGTGGTTAAAACGTTCGCTCGTCACGCCGAAGACTCGGGTTCGATTCCCGACATGGGTACAATGTGTGAAGCCCATTACTGGTGTCAACTGGTGTCAACTGCCGTGATATTGCTGAAATATTGCTGAAAGCGGCGTACAACCACACTCACTCACTCACTCACTCATCACTATAGTAAATACAAAATTATCGTTTCTATTCAGAATTTTGAATTCCACTAAAACCCCTGAACATGAACAAGCAATCGCACCCTTACCTGATGCCTCAATATTCCCTGGTCCAGTGCCATGGCGTATAACGCTTAGCTTGGGACCTTCAGTATCCGTGTCCATACTAAATGATGGTGGGCCATTGACATTTGATAATGATAAGTTGGAATGCAAGCTGAATGATACACTTGAACAGTCAATGCAAATAGTGTGAGTGGCGGTTGTTCTGGTAGGGCAGGACATGCTTACCCCTTTTGAGAACACCAGATTTCATCACTGATTTAGGGGCGGTCGGGTAGCCTAGTGGTTAAAGCGTTCGCTCGTCACGCCGAAGACCCGGGTTCGATTCCCGACTTGGGTACAATGTGTGAAGCCAATTTCTGGTGTCCCCCGCCGTGATATTGCTGGAATATTGCTAAAAGCGGCGTAAAACTATACTCACTCATCACTGATTTTCAGTGATCCATTCATATGTTTCAACGCTCTCTGGTCTTTAACGCCCAGTGGAATTTGTCTTGGCGGATATTCGAGACAGGTAATTCTAGATATTTGTGCGTCATGGGGTCTGTGCCGTGAAGAACCTGGGTAGAATAGGTCTTCAGCAACCCATGCTTGCCGTAAAAGGCGACTATGCTTGTCGTGAGAGGCGAATACCGTGGTCGGGTGGTCAGGCTCGCTAACTTGGTTGATGCATGTCATCGATCCCAATTGTGTAGACCGATGCTTATGATGTCAATCATCATACAGATGGAATATTGCTGAGTGCTTTGTTAAACAACAAATAAACAAACAAAACAAACACGGAGTCTGTGCGTGGTTGTACGCTTATATCTATACATACGTAATTGTATGACATGTGTATTTGCTTGTGTAAAGTTCATGAACGGAAATAATTTGAAAGAAGCGCAAGTCAGCATGTTGTGACGTTTGGGCAATTTCGTGCGTTTGCATATGCGTATTGGTATATGCATTATGCATGCACAACAGTTAGTATTAGGACAATAGCGCATGTGGCATATGTGGATATTTGTGTGAAGTGTATTTCTACGGACACTTAACATTGCAACACAAATTAAAATAACTTAGATTATTGTTCCAGCTTGTCCCTACAAACAAGCCTAACATACAGGCGCACTGAGCCAGAGTGCTGCCATCAGTTGACTGCACAAGATACAGATGCAGTTGGCGCATGGTAACAACTAACTTGGGAAAAGCCATGACTTCTGGATTTAGAAGCCTTGTATTAGATATTCCTGTCACTTTCCGGTATATGCCTCAACGAACTTTATACCAGGAAGGATGGTTCGGGCCTATTAGGGCGTTTGCTAATAGTTAAATGTCACAAACAATAAAAAGTGATATTTTCTGTAACTTACCTGTCTGTACCAACCTTGCTTGACAAATGGAAGGAGGAACATCGTCTGACAAAATACATTGGGGTATCCTCCAAATATACGTTGATAAAGGCCAATAGTTATCCATCATTCGGAACGGTCATGCGCTGTGAGGCAGTTGCGAAGAGTGGATGTGTCATG